CACGGGTATATTTTAGATAGGAGGAAGTGCACGTGATTGGAAATGGAATCCTTTCAAAAGCAATTCTTCTAAATCTTCTCCACTTAATTAAGAATGAAATCATACAATATATTAAATTTAATGTCTTTTAAATAACATAAGCATGTTTTACCCAATATATGGTATTTTCATATAACTAATACGTGTCTGTTTCATCCTCAATCTATCCCATTTTTTTTGGCCAAACAATCTATCGTCTTCAAATATTCTCCCCCCACTCCAAATTATAAATAGTTTTTAACAATAATTCCTACACCAATAGAATTCTTATTTTTATGAAGAAGATGATAAATTACAAACACAAGAAGTTAGATTAATGAATATAAAACGTAAAATAAAATTTTTTTACAAACATTAAGTTGGTTATTTCCTCTGAATCGCAATATAAGTCATTCTTAATTAATTTACATTTCTAAAAAGAGGTTGGCTAAAATTTTTAATTTTTAAAATTTTTTATATCTTTTTAATCATGTCCTTAAGTATAATAAATATGATATTTAACTTCCTCATAACATCCTCATTAATTACTCAATAAATTAAGGGTATAATTCAAAAAATATATAATATTTATATAATGTTCTATATTTTAAATCAAACAAAACTCATAAAAAATAACTTACATAAGGAATATATTTTAGATTAAAATTAGTAAAGAGAAAAGGTTTATATTTTGAACGGAGTATTTGTGAATAATATAACGATTGTACAGGAGAAATTTGGCTGGCCGTTGACCTGATTCGTTCATGAATATTCAAAGGAAAGGTGTATATTAGCGGTGTAACTCATACAGCAAAGCAAGAGCTGCTAAGCTTCGGTTTTATGGTTTACCAAGTGAAAGGGTTGCGGCTGTTGTAATCATTAGCCGTGTAACTCTACAGACTTGACACGCAAATGGCAAACAAACCTCACGCAGCCATGAGGTCGAGCACCTCATTCCGGGGATCGAGCTTGCCAAACGCCTCTTCACTCATCACGACTTTCTCGACACCATACGTCTTTGTCATCACCACCGACTCCTCCACTGCACACTCCGTCATCCTCCAATACACCTCAAACCGATCTTGTGCCGTAGTGGTCGGATGTACGAGGTTTATCTCTAAACCCTAAACCCAAAACATAATATAATATCCGCCGATGGAATTTTTGGTGAACACGTGGCATGATCTGGAGCTCACTACGGCGAAAGCACTGATCGATAGAGAAATTTTAGGAGGGATCACAAAAGGTCCGGTGGATTTTGTAGGGCCCTTGGTGAGGAGCACCGAAAGTAAAAGCCAAGTACAGAGATGAGGTTTTGGAGTGGCTTGATGATCAGCCAAAACGGAGTCGGTTAGAAGCGGAGGAACACTATCGGCGGCTCAAATCACAGATCTGGCTTGGGGGTTGGAGCTGAGCCAGCAGAGGTTTATTTGGGTGGTGAGGCCTCCCAAGGAAGAAGCCAGCCAGCACCTCGTTTTTTGATGTGGTGAAGGGCGGCGAAGAGTGCAGGGATTACTTGCTGGAGGGGTTAATTTCGCGAGGAACCACGGGGTGGGGAGGATGGTCCCCATGTGGGCCCTTCGGTTGGGGGATTAATCGTGTCGCACTATGGCTGGAATTAAACACTGGAGAGCACGAAGATGAATGTGTGCATGCTGTCGGGGGAGCTTGAGGTGGCCGAGAGGGTGAAAGCGACGAAGGGAGAGAGGTGATAGAGAAGGTGGTGAGAAGAGTAATGGCCGAGAGACAAAGAGCGAGGGACGAATCTCCTAGCTAGGGCTTAATAGTATGTATCACTACTAATCAGTAATTATGGATTTTTGTCTGGTTTGTGCCCTTTCATTCTGACAGTCTCTCTTTGCAAGGAATTCGAATGCTGGAATATAATACGGCTCGCTTTGTGGAACTCAGCTTATTATGAATTATGTTAGCCTCCACTTCTCCATTTCATGGATTTTGATGTGCTCCTATGTGGTCGGGATTTAAAGTATAGAAAAGAAAAAAGAAAGTCAAAGTTATTTTTCGAAAACATATTATATAAGCTCCTGTTTCAGCACGAGGAGGGCCTCCTCCCATGTGCTACGTGGCGTCTACATATTGCAGATTTTTTTAGTTTGAAACTTTGGGCCGACGAAAGTGCTTCCCAATGCAACCCCAAACTGAATCTAATCTCCTATCTTGATCTTCACCTCTCAATCAACACCGTTGTGGTCAGCTAATAGAAGCTTCGTATCAAGAACTCTACCTTCTTATCTATAAATTCTACTCCATGTGGAGTATTGTAGTGCTGAATATGGCAATAAATTCTTGTCAACCAAGTGTCCGGAGAACAGTACAAGGTAGATATGCAGCCACGGAAATAAGCTGCAAAGTTTTTTTTTTTTCTTTCTTTTCTTTTTTTATATCCCAAAGAGCAAAGGGGAATTACTTTAAGGTTGCATTCAATTTACTGAATTATTTTCGGGTTCATTGACAATTGAGTATAGGAGTCATTCCTAAACTTAATTGTCAATGAACTTGAAAGTAATTGATTGTGTTAAGTAAGACTTACATATAATTCTTCCAATTATAAACAATGTTGCTTCTTCAAAATTAAACTTGCGAAGTTATATCCTACTATAGCAATACTAACTAATGCCATCTTTGATAGTAGGGAAGAGTTTTTGATGAAAGTGAAAAAGGAATTGAGGTGAAAATGAAATTTTAAAACATATTTGGTATGCACATAGAAGTAAGTTATCATTTTTAATTAAAATATGTATTTATAATATGTAAATACCAAAAGGCCCTCCAATAAAAAAATCTCTTCCACCATCAGAACCATTCACAACCATCCTAAACCATCGCTGGAGACAAAAAGAACCACTGTCAAACTCAGAAATCGAAGGCAGAACAAAAACCAATAAGCAAAGCTGCAAAAATCGAAAACCAACATTGAAATAACCTTGTATTTCTTCCGTGTTCTTGGTTTTGTAAACCCTCCAGAAATCGAAGGTAGTAGTACTTCTTCGATAATCCTTCCCTTCCAGGCTTCCACTCAACAAAATTCTCGGCTCCACACGATGTTTTTTAGATCCAATTTGACATATAAACCATTTTTGGTGCTTGCTGGGAGCCAAATTTGCATTTGAATCACTGATCAATTTACAAAAGGCATGACAATAACAATCATTCAAGAATCAAAGCCCCAAATAAAAATACAATAATCCAGGCATAAAGAATCAAAATATAAAAAGGTTAATATGTATTTTAGATCCTGAACTATAACTTCAATGATGATTTAAACTTTAAACTATTATTTAATACATTTTAAATTCTAAATAATTCAAATTGATACAATTTTACCCCACCGTTAAATTAAAACAAACATATGTTATTTTTTTAAAAAAAGGAATATAATGTGTGATTTTTACTAGATTTTACTTTCTCTCTCTTACCTTCCTTTGAGAAAAATTACAACTTAGACCCTATTTTTTAAAAAAAATAACGGAATGTTTATTTTAATTTAACTGTGGAGGTAAAATCACACTAATTTTAATTATATAAAATTTAAAATGTATCAAATAATAGTTTGGTTATAATTCAAATCGCCTCTGATTATAATTCAAAATTTAAAGTGCATATTAACCTAATAAAAATAAATGAATATAGGCATAGATAATCAAAACCCCAATCAAAAACAGTCAACTATGGAGAAATGAAGAAATTTCCGAAAATGAAATTATTGGTAGAGGAACGATGAGGACAAAGGTGGGTTGCAACTGTTGACAATGTCGTGGGCGAATGTGGCCGAGCTTTTCTTCTTTGGGGTCAAGGAGCTTCCGATCGATTGGGCGAACGAAGTCATGTTTAGCAACAAAAGCGGAGGAGAAAGCAAAGATCGAAGGAGGTGGAGGAGGAAATAATGTTGGAGGAGGAGGATTCGCTGCTACTGAACAATGGGGGTGGATAAATCGAAGGGGGAGACATGGATCATGACTATGAGGACGGCTATCGAGAGAAGAGGGGTGAACATTCTAGAGGAGCGAAATTTGTCAACTAATAAAATAGTTGGGGGCATAGTTGTTAGAAAATCTCTTTTCCAAGGAATTCAAACCAATTCCTTAGGATATAGCATGGAAGGCAATTCCATCAATTTTGATGGAAGCAAGTTCCGCAAGGAACTAAATTCCAATGTACCAAAATCTCCATTTATATAATTTCATTTTCACTTCTACTTTCCTAGTTTCAATTCCAGCGTGCCAGACCAGACATAAAGTCTAAAGGAAAAGAAAGCATGCGTCCGCGGCCAAATGATCAACAGATGGGTCTTCTACTTGACGGTATTTGAACAATAATTTAAACATGCAAGCTAAATGCTTGAGTAGAACAAGTACTCGCTTTCTTTGATGAAATGCTAAAATGCAGGTTGAGAAACCATCAAGAACTTGCTGTGGGCATGGTGGGAAGTAGATCGGAATTTGTACGTTAGTGCGAAGGAAAGATGAAGGTTCGTGGTGAAGCGGTGTTAGTAGCGAAATCATTCACTTCGCGTCGAAGCCTCTGAAACATTACTCGAACGCTGGTCCGTAATCTGGCTGGATGAAGAGAACAATAAACAAACGGTCGAGATCAAACCAAATTCAACGGCTCAGATTTCAAGTAGCAACCTGAAACGGCGTAGTTTAAACGCTTCATACCGCATGCCAGAAGGGCCTCCGCAAACTGAATCCAGGCACATCATTTTTGTGTGTAAATCTGTCAATTACTCTTCTAACAAGATCTCAACTTCTCCACTCCACCCATCACCCAATTTCCTCTCACCCATTTCAAACCATTATACGCCAATCATATTCACAATACTTAACCCACCCTAATTAAATTTTTGGAGTGCACCTATGCAACAGCAACAGAGATCCATCAACTGCAGTCTAAAGGCTTAAACTGCCTCATAAAGTTGTGAGCTGCAAAGTTAAATCACCCCAGAACAATATTTCCTTCACTTAGACACAGCTGAAGTGGTTCATCTTATTTACGGTAAACCAATTAACACTAACACAGAAATAGTACTGATGCTGGATAGTAAGCTAATCAGCAAAATATATAAACTCCCAATAATAAGAAATAACTACTCAAGAGGGAAGACAGCTGACAAGCTAAGTAGAGGCAAGTTTGATGCTGAATATCCAAATATATAGCTCACACACTGATAGGTTCAGTGGCCTTCTTCAGCCATTCAGTTTCAGTTTTATTCAAGTATGGCGCTAGCATGTCTCTACATTTGGAGTGATAAGAGTTTAGCCAATCTATCTCATCAGGTGCAAGAAGGCTAGGATCAATCAACTTCTTCTGGTAAGGGGCCTGGACAAAGTAACATAAAGAATTAAGAACATGGAAAAAGTCATAAGCAGATACATTATACTGTTTTGAGTAATTTTTAGAATTGTACTCCTAACAGCAAACCACTTCTCTCTCTCTCTCTCTCATGAGATGCTCAAATACCCATCATAATTATACTCCTTTTGTTAAAACATGTAAGGTGTTTTTAACTAAATCTTACCCCTCAATAAAGTAGTTACCTATCTTTAAATTAACCCTATCTTTTCATAGTTATCTCTATTTAATTGTTTCACCCTAAAAAAATAAAGTAATTACACTTTTGGAAAAAAAAAATGTAATGGTCAAAATGTCCTCAAGATAATATTAATTTCTTTTATTGAAAACATAAGTTGGGAAAAATATATTTCTTAAACTTTTATCTCAACGCCACTTATTTCATATTGAAAGCTACAAATTTAATTTAATTTAAATGTACATAAATTACTATTTTACATTAATAAATTTATATTCAGTTCTTGTTATATCATACAAGTGAAAAGGATAGTTTGACAACAGTACACGTTTTTATTTCAAGAAAGATGAATATAGTTTGAGCATCTACAGAGAGGAAGGAGCAGTTAACTCTACTTCAGCTGTTCAGCAAAGGAAAATCTCGAAGTCTATATACCAAAGTCCAAAAGCTGAGATCGGCAAAAACTAGACAATAGAGACTAAACAAGTAACAAGTGGATAAAAGGGTGAAGGTTGTGTATATTATAGTCTTGGAACTTGGAAGTGTAGCTCGTAGTACCTAGAACAGAACCACGGTAACATCCCATATGAAATAGTTGTCGTGAACTGGAAAATTAACTAGAACTTAATAGGAAAGTAGCAAAAAGGAAATGTAAGACCATTAAATCAATGACAATTAGACCTAGAATCGGCTACATGCAATCAACCAGTTCAGCGGGCCTTTAGAAAACTGAGACTGGATGAAAGCAACCCCATCATAACAAATACCATATTTTCAACCCAAACTCAAAGACCAGTCAAAAATATGCAAGTCACACAGAATAAGAACTTACCCAGGTAATGTGTTCAAATGATAAGTATCCTTTATCAGCAAAATTGAATTTTGTATCAGCCTCTTCGACAATAAGCACATTCTCCAATCTTATTCCAAATTTTCCATCTTCATAGTAACCAGGCTCTGGAAATTCCAATTCCAAAGCATAATCCATAAGGAAAAGAGTTAAATTAAAGCTTTATGACTTTTGCAATTACTAGTAATAAATAGATTGAACACTATTTAGAACCATCACAAGTAGAAATAATTAACGGTAGGCTCTAAATTCGTATTATAACCATGAAATTTTTACCTATATTATTCTAACTCTACATATTTATTTTTTTGGGCACCTTCATTCTGAAACTAAGAAACCATGCAAGAGGTAAGTGTCAATTTTGGAAAACACGTGTTCATCAAAAGCATGCATCCAGAAAGCCACCGAATTCCCTCCCAAAAACAAATTGTAGCAGATGTACATGTGTCAAAACAATGTAAAACACATTTTAACATATATCTCTTCTCTAACCAATGGCTTAGAATGATCACCCAGAAGCTTGTCAAGCTTGTCGTAATAATTTCAAAAGACTTTAAGTAAAAAATAACAGGAGATAAGATTTAATAGAAGAATGATGAAAGAGAGATGATGCAGCAATTCTAATATCATGGGCTGTAACAATATTATAATACTAACCATCGGTTACAGTCATTGAAGCTTGCAATGGTACATTTCGAGCTTGTGGTCTAAAACTGATTAAATGGGGTCCTGCTCAGTTCAGATGATATTGAATTAAAACTCAATCTAGTCTTATCTTCTAAAGAAAGCAAAACAAGTTGATAGACAAACGAAGAAGCAGTAACAGTCCCAACACCTTCATGAACATTCAGGTAAGACCCAATGCCATGACCAGTACCATGTCGATAATCAAGGCCATCTTTCCACAGAGGAACTCGAGCAAGAATATCAAGTGCATGACCTAAATGTATTGACAAAGGAAAAGTAGTTAAGTTCTAATGCATGTAAATAAAACTAGCTCAATTGCAGAATTGACATAAAAATAGGAAAAAATTGTTATACCATTTGTCCCATTAGGAAACCTAGCATTCCCAAGAGCAATGTGACCCTTAAGGACCTGCATAAAATGCAGCAAATCAAACGTCTAAAGCCTCTCTAACCACAAACAAAAGTTACAGCGGTGCATCAAAAAAAGAATTTCATACTTTCATACATATCCAACAAAGTTAAGGAATTTGACAATTATATGAATTGGAGTATATTTTCACAACTATTTAACTTGTAGAGGCAGGATATAAAGGCACTTACTGCTGTATAGCATGCTTTCTCATGTGCCGAAGGTTTTCCAAAATGAACTGTTCGTGTTATATCAGTTGTTCCATCTAGATACTTCAAAGACACTGATGGTTATCAATAATGATCTGCTTACATTTCTATGCAATAAACAATTTATAGGGAATAGTAGACAAACCTGGGCTCCAGAATCAAAAAGATAAATTTTGTCTGGATCCAGCTCAGCACATGTTTCTGCCTGAGGACAATAATGAATGATAGCTGCATTTGGTCCAACTGAAGAAATAGTTGGGAAGCTCAATCCTCTGAAATTCTGAGACCAAAAAAAAAAAAAAAACGCTTTATGATTGAAAACAGGATGGTATACATATATTAATAAAAATACTGTACTTTTGAGTTCATATTTATACTCTCTTAGAAGTGCTTAACTGTGAGCGGACAGTGCACATCTAGAGTCATGCATCCACATCGCAAAGAGTAATTTAGACAAGAAGCCATTTTCTCCATCGTTTTCATTTGCTTAATATTAGTTTTCTTTTATTCATTAGTGTATGCTACCAAATAGAATAGGAACTAGAAACATTAAGATGATATACTGCAATGGAACCAAAACAGTTTTCTCCATTTATTATCACTCCCTTTAAATCTTGATATTTTATGCTTAAAACAAATACTATGAAATATGACTGAGAAATGGAGTTGCAATACGCAATTGTCCTCAGCCAATCAAGAACTACCATATATCCATGCATCAATCCTCAAGATCCATAAAACGGGGAAAAGGGGCATCCATTAGTTCAATATCCCCCAGACATGTTGGTGAGTATGCATAATTCATCATTATCAACTGAACTGTTTAGAAGCAAGTGCTGTCAACTACAAGAGTACTGATCAACTTCTTGTTGTAGATATCTTTGATGATGTCAAAAGATGAAAAACTCATGTGCGCACCCAGGGAAATGATCACTCAGCTCTACCTCATCAGTAGCAATCTCCATACCTTCTTCTAGTTAAATCTGAAAGTGATAGCTAACATTCACACATAGACAAGGAATAACTAGCCCCCAAAGGAAGTGAAATTACAATAGTTACCTAACCTCTACCTCCCTAGAGTCCATTGCCAAATGAAAACTGCCAGATTGAACATGCATCAAAGCCAAGACAAATGTGCATATTTGAGTTAGATCCGGGAATCAGATTTGACCTTTCTGATCCATGTCATAAGATGTAGCCATTCTGATCAATCTTAAGAAATTCTACTCAAAATCATAAGACAAAAACAAGGAATGGAAATGAATATGATCATGCTTCTGTTATTTTAGCCAATAAAATATAATCTACCTACTATGCAAACGAACCCACCCTGCTTCAAAGCGTTCAATCACATTATGCCTTTTAACCATTACAGTATAGCACTTAATTGTTAAATTGAATGCACCTCTTTTGATGCCCGAAAACCCTCAAGCTTGTCACTTGCAGTCACCTCAGTCAGCTTCAAGGACTTCCTGCAAAAGGGTTTTCTAAATGTTTTGAGTAAACAGCAAAATATTCAACACAATTCTAATGATGTGACGCAACAGGAGCTAACCGCACTGGGAATTATCCTGATACATTTTAAACGATCATTTAGAAATATCACCCTCCAAGCAGGTCAGGGAGGTTCATCCTGTATAAGACTAAAACGTGGGGAATTCATTTCATGACTTTCCATGTTATCAGAAAGTCAAAGTAACTAATAAACTTTTCCGTGATTTCTGAGGTTACAATATTATATAGACTTAAGATTGGACGACACTTACAAATGTTTTTCCTTGGTCACTTCAGTACCCTCCATAAAGTAACCAGATGCGCCATAATTATCCTGCATCTGAAAATTAGAACAAGCATGTGAGCTGATGTTCAAATCTGGTACATCAAACTAAGAAAAGCATAATTAAACAGAGAGAGAGAGAGATTGAAAAATATAGATGTCCTCTCCCAGAGAATAATCCATGTTCAGAGAAATAACCTTCGCATCCAACCAAACAAGATATTGTACAACAGCTGCACCATCCCGAATATGTGCCTTTCTCAAACCTTCCAACTCCACTGGATTCTACAGATGTTGGAGAAATATAAATAAGAGCCATGCATCAGAATAATAAAAAATGATTTCCAAATCAAGACCCTTTGCAAAATTTCTAAAAGAGCTGATCAGCCCTTCTAATATACTCAAGACTGGGAAGAATGACCCTTCGTGTATGTCAGAGCAGACATAAAAAACTGATACACTCAATATGACATTATGATATAAATTGCCACAACATACTTCTCCTTACACATAAGTCTTTTAGCGACTCGAATGTCAATTAAAAGTACTAATTTAAGGGGTATTATGCCTGTTTAACTTTAAGGGACATGGTAATCAGCTTTTTTAGTTCCCCATACAAGATTTGTCTGAGAACAAACCAAAAGCAATGCCTTTTTGGGTCCATCACCAAAAGCCAGGCTGAACCAACAAAAAATGACCTTTTGTTAGTTGAATAAATATGTACCTTTAAAGCTTTCGCTAAGGCCACAGGTGATTGCTGCAAGTGAACCTTATCAGGGTTCAATTTTGAATACAGTGCATAGCAGCATGAACCCGGATCAGCCCATATGAGGTCGGTACCACTATCTGCTTGAGAACTACCATTTACTCTTGTTCCAGCCCCACTGAGAGCTTTGCTTGCGTCCTCTGTAAGTTCAGTTGAAGTTCCTCTAACAGTAGACACAGCATCAAGCTCACCTACTGCCAATAATGCCACATCGGAACTCACTGCCGTGTACTCTCTAATTTCAATTCCATTACCTTCCAAATGAGTTTTCACCTGCACAAAAAGGTTAAACAGAAATTATTAAGCCTTCTACCAATATGAGACATGCTGGTTAGTCTAAATAATACCATTCAGCACCTAAATTCATCTTTAACTTGGCTATTTATCAGCAGTATAAAGGAACAGAACTCACCATTGTTAGTATATTTGGTACTTTCAACTCTCCCCTTCCAATACAGAAAATTGTACTTAGACAATAAACCAGAAAAATAACTCATGGATAGCACCCTCATAATTCCCACAGCTAAATAGCTTTTAACTAATGTCACAATGGTAAACTCTTTTGCGGAGAAACATATGGTCACGGAGTTCTTTTCAATGTAAACACTTCTACCAGCTAATTTTCACTCAGACGAGTAGGTTTTTCTTTAGCTGAAAGAGTTTACTTATTGATGAGATGAGAGAATACTACATAAAAGTATGAAAACAGAGGAGAAGAGATCCTTCTTGAAGAAAACAAAAACAGAAGAAAACTTTCCAATCTCTAAACAAAGGAAACCCTCTTATTATTTTAATATCCAATGAGGGCAACATAGTAACTCAAAATAATAATAACAAGTATCTTTCTCTACTTCCATAGCAAACACATTACTCGCAGATTAGACATACACAATATGTAGATTCACATAACTCAAACCAACCTCAGCAGACACCTTTTGCTTATCCACATAAAAGAAAGCTGAATTGGATGTCACAATAGCAAATGCATGAACTACAGGGCAGTATGCCACATCACTCCCACGAATGTTGTACAACCATGCAACCTGGATGGCAGCCAAGTTATCAAAATTTTAAAAGAAAATATCAAGATTGTCTTAAATAGGCCAAGGTCAGAAGGAGGAAAAAAAATCCTCAAGCTCAGATAACTAGAACAAAGAAAAGAAACAAAGTGAAAAGTTAATGATAGGTATACTAACTTCATCAAGTGCTGTGAAAATTATACCGTGAGCTTTTTCAAGCCCAAGTTTTTCTCTCAAAAATTTCAACTTATCTGCAACAGAACGACCTGCAAATTCCAATGGGTGTACACTAACAGCATTAATCTCTGCAGGTGGTCGGTTTATCCATACTTCATCTATCAAATTTTTTGTCGTTTGAACCAGCTTCTGCTGTTTTATGGCAAAAGCACGCTCCCATCTTTGGGCTGTATCAATTGAAATGCACCAAGGGTCCACTCCAATGGATGCATCTTTCGGCAAGTTCTAGGAACAAGATATGGAAATGACCCGTTAGTATAAATATGCCACATAATGGCATACATTTACGAATGCTGTTGAAGAACATTGTAACTAACATCAGCCATCCAGATATCTACAGCAGGATCTTCACCAATACGCATTAGCTTCCACTGATCACTAAGCTCTCGTGTTGCCTGCAAAAAATACCTTCCATCCGTCCACAGCAGTGCTTCTTTCTTTGTAATAAGTGCCAACCCTGAATATAAGTTTCGAGGAAAATTCAAAAAACTTAGAAGCAACACAGAAGGCACGTAGCTGACTTTCTCAGATCCAAAATACACAACAATATTGCATGGTAAACAACTGCTTGAAGATTTCAGTCAGAGTCCATCTTATATCAGTCAACGATAATGAATAAGAGAATCAAAAAATTGTTATATAACCGACCTCAAGAAAAAAATGCCCATCAGTATTTACTAGCTACAAGATTTAGGCTGAAACCGCGCAATGAAATTACCCAGCCCCAGAAACTAATCACATGGAGAAGAACCAGCTCGGTAGGGAAGATGATTTCTTTTGAAATATGGACCGGATGACCACAATAATATTAGTAATAAAGGACAAGGTCAAACTAGCTAGTTTAACAACTTGTCATACGTAAAAAAATAAAAAAAAAATAAAAAAGGAATGATGCGATTATAAGGGAACATGTATGTACAACTAAAACTGAGATGCAACAAGCAATTCAAAATATCGAAATATACCAGCACTTCCAGTGAATCCGGAGACGAATTCGCGCCTTTTGTCTCGTGCAGATACATATTCGCTCTGCAATCAACGTATCGAAGTGAGAGAGATTTGAATCATAATTGACCATCAATCGGGTGAGTCACGGAAGAAATAAAGATCATAATATTTTGACATCGCTAATTAAACAAGCTGATAAAGTGCAGGCAATCTGTAGGCTGTGATAGATAGACTCGAAGAGGAACCTGGTGATAATCTTCGGAGGGGACGACCAAGGCATCAAGAGGCGGAGAGTGGGAAGCCATAAGAGACCTCAAGGCTGAGAGGGTGTCCGCCATTTCTGCGATAAGTTTTGCAATTACTCTTGCACTTTCAGTTTGGGAGTAATAAGTGATAGAATTCTCCTATTGGGTGTATAAATATATACAGTAAAAATCGAAGCGAGAGATGCTCACGCAAAAATCGGATTTCCTAGTCCGATTAGATTCCTTTGAAAATGTTATCGTACCTTTCCTAGTCGGATTCCGTGCTCAACTGCTCATAATCAGTATCATGCGCATTCTGGAGCTGAAATCGAAAGGAAAGAGAAAAATTGAAGGGAAAAAAAAAGACGTGGAGAAAATAATATTTATTAGAAAGGATTTAAAAAAATAATTATTTAGAAGGATTAAATATTAAAATATAAGTTTAAAAATATTATAATATCTTTAATTAAATCTCGTACATTTTTTAAACACATCTCACACATTATAAACAATTACTAAGAAAAACAAAAACTATTTCTTTTTATATATACTATAAAATGAGGAGGTGAAAAAAAGGAAATTTAAAACAAAGTTAAACTAATACCTAGCACTCATACTAAGTCAATAATCCTATCTTCCTGGAAAATTCGTAAGTGCAGAAATTGAGAGAAGGCATTCTTAGCAAAGTGTAATAATTTTTTAAAAGTATAATTTTTAAATTATATTGATTTAATTTTTTAAAAAAGTAAATATTTTAAATTTATATTGATGCCATTATTTAAAAGTAAATATTTTTTAAAATTATATTGATTTAATTGAATTCAATATTACTTTCCATTTTTTTCCTATGGAATTGAAAACTACACAATCTTGTTTTTAAAAGAGTGTGTTATAACTTATTCTTGTTGATTTTATTTTATTTATAAGTCATTTCTAACATGTTTCATTAAAATAATAAAATTTAAACTTCATTAACTATATTTAAAATTTAATAAGTTTTCACATCTATCTCTAATAAGGATAAAAAAATTATTTTTAATAATTTTTTTAATATTTACTAAGAGTAGAAAGATAAAAATAAATATAAAAAATAATGAAGTGTACTATAAATATGACTAAACTAAATCTCCTCTCTCCGTCCTATAAATAGGATTAAAGAAACGTATAGTATTTCATGTCAACTTTAAAGAATTATTGACAAATTTTATACTAAGGTTACAATAGTCAATTACAGTTATCTAAATCTTTCACCATAATTTTAATTTTTACTGTCTTTTACAATAAATTTTAACAGTATTAGATCTCTCTTTTTAATTTTTCCAAATCTAAATTGTTGATTTAATTTGGACGAATTGAAGAGCATATTTGGAATGTTAACATGAAATGGAATGAAATAAAGTGGAATGAATGAAATGAAATGAAGTTTGGGAGTTTTATTGGAAATATTAGTGTTTCATTTGAGCACTCTTTGATTTAGTTATTATCAAAATTAATGAAATGAAATTAATTATAATTATTTTTTTTCAATTTTATAGTATGAAGAGGTAGAAGAGTTGATGTTAAGAATGCAAGTAATTTTATAATATTGTTATTTATTTCGAATCATTTTCTATTTTAATTATGAGTTAAAGTACAGGTATATGCCTAAAATTTTTTTTCGAAGTGTAATAGGTGTCCTTTAAAGATGTAATTTCATTCCAACATTTTAAAAAGGAGTACAAATTTATTCAGTTGTTACTTTGGACGTTAATATTCGCATCTTGACAGTCAAACTTAAATATGAAAGCCACGTCACTTGCCATGTCAACTCTTCTTCTTCCTCGTCCCTTCGTCCCTTATGCCAGAGTCAGCTTCCCTCTGCTTTTAATATTTTTAACTTTTATTTTAAGTTTATTATTTTTTAAATATATATAAAATTTTAATAAATATATTTATTGATTTGACAATCTTGATTTAATATAAATGATCTAAATTTAATATTAAAAACTTAAATTAATTTTTTAAATATATTTTGAATAATGCAGATATATTCTGCATAGAGTAGTAAATTTTTTAAAAAAATTTAATATTAAATTTGAATAAGTATATTCAAATTTGAAGCTACAGAAGTTGCTGGTGTGTTTCTTGGCATTAGTGCACATGACACATTTCTTGGGTGGCTTTCGATCTTCATGTTGGTTTGCTCAATAGCTCACCTTTGAACCCCACTAGCAACCCCCCCCCTGTTGGATTTCTTTTTTTTTTTTTGTGCTTAATTTCTCCTCTAGTTTTTCTAAAATTCTAGGTTGTTCTTTCTAACCCAAATCGGTCTTTTATTTCTGGTTTGGCTTTTCGTTTTGATTTTTGTCCTAGATTATCAATGCTGTGGTTGGTAGATGTTTTATTTTCTAGCTTCGAAGTTGATTGAAATTCCTAATATTGGAAGATGACGATGGGGACGGTCGAAGGGAGGAGAAAATGAATGTGTGGTCACGATTAAAGTTTTTTTTTTTTTTTCACTTTCAGATGTTGACACCTATATGGCAAGTCAGCAAAGTACTTAACTGTCAAAAAGTCAAAATAAACCGTTCACGTCATCAAACCATTAGTTAAAGACAAATTTGTATCACTTTTAAAAAATGTCAGATGAAATTACATCCTTAAATACTTTGAGATATCAATTACGTTTTCAAAAAAAAAAAGAAGAAGAATAGATTAATACTTTAATTTTTTTAATTATTGATCTTTTAGACGTAGGAAAAAAAAGTAAATTTATAGATTATGAATAAGAAGCCATCAACCATCCTATTCCTTTTTAAAAAATTCTCTCAAAAAAGGCATAATTCTTGTAGTTACTCTATTTCATTCTATCAATTGCATATGATAAATTTATACACTAATAAATTATTTTACATTTTTGGTTATATTTACTTTTTTTAAAAGTAGTTTTAAGAAAAATTAAGATGCCTTTAAGAATAGGGTTAAATGATAATTTAAATTTTGAATAATGAGTTCAGGAATAATTTAAATCTTAAATTATTATATTTTAAATTGTCAATAATTAAATTTAAAATAAACTCGCCCGACATTAAATTAGTCCAGCGTTGACTCTCAAATAAGGAGAGAGAGAGAGAGACCATTTTTTTGTTTTTAACCAGATTTTGCCCAGTGGCATGCCATGTGTGCAGGTCCTATTCTTCCGGGCATCTCCATACTGGGTTCGATCTCCAAGGTGTGCAGCACCTTCATTCTTCCGACCATCTCCATCCTGGATTCGATCTCCAAGGTGGGTCCGACCTCGGCCTGGTAACACGGTGGGGAAGCCCATGCTGGACGGAGTGGAGAGGGGAAAGGGCTGGACGGCGAGAGGATCGATCTCCACCTGGAATGCAAAGAGGCAACACACGCCACGGGGGAAAACAATCCATGCCATGCCACCTGTCAGTAAAGTAGCGGATATTTATTTTAATTTAATTTTAAGATGATACTGTTTCAAATTTAATTATTCACAATTTAGAATATACTAAATAAATTGGATTTAAATTTATAATTTAAAATCTAAATTATTGTGCAACCCTTAACAATATACAAAATATTAACAAAATCAATTTTTTATTAATATAAGAAATTACTTATAAAAATAATTAGATGAATTAAAAAATATTGATTATAACCCATCTGAGCATAATTTCTGCTTTTTATGTATACAATCTAACAAAAAAGTGTATATATGAACGAGAAATTACATTGAAATTTACAAAGATCAAAGACAATATAATTATTTTCACAATTAAGAGTGTAACGTAGCATTTTATACTCTTCCTTTTCCCTCACCTTTGCTCTAAACAGACTAGAGTCTAGAAGTGTTTAACTAAAGTACAGATTTATTGCAAATATAAGCAAGCGGGTGAGGAAAATTTTTAAATTTTACTCCATGTTTAAAAATATCTTATATTTTTTAAAAATTAGATGTTAAATAATATAAAATATTTTTAATCTTTTAAGATGTAATTATTATTTTTTTAAAAATGCCCTTATAAATAAATTATTTATATTTATTTTAAAATAAAACATCATATTGGGATAAATATGAAAAAATAAAGTTACTTTAAAAATAAGTAACTATTTTATTGAAGGATAATTTAATTAAAAATACCTAGGAAATATATATTAATATCTTTTTTGCTTAAATATATTTCAATGCTCAAATGATTCATATCCTTCAATTATTAAGCTCAGCTTTTATTTGTTTTCGTTGCTTCTAGTTTTTTCATAATTGAAACTATACCTCAACATACTTCAATTGTTTATGATGTCAAAGGACCCAAGACAAATCACATGACAGTTGGTATCATACTTCTTATAATGTCTTAATTTTTTTATTTTATTTTTCATATTTTTAATAATGAACTTTTACATAAAATAAGAGATATCTTGAAATCACAAAATGATGAATAGTTATATATTTTTATATTTTTTAAAGAAAAATATCACAATCACAACATTTTATTTTTGAAAATTCATAAAAAATACAAATCTCCACTGTTTTAAGATTTTAAGGTATTAAGTTGCTTTTTATTTTCTATAGAAATCAATAATTCAAAAAAAATAAAAAAATAAAAAATAAAATTAAAAAGTTGAGATATTATAAAAAATGTTAAAGAAGAGCACATTAAACATTACACCAAACCATAAGTTGATAGTAAAGAAAAGATCCCCACGCAACAGGAGAAGAGGCACAACAAGACGCATAACTTAGTAGTATATTAATATTATTTATGCAATGTAGTTTATTAACATGTATAACTCTCAGAATAATGGAGAACCAAGAAGCACATTGGATAGAATTGACAAATGACAGCTGAACAAACCAGAGAGTTGAAATTACAGATGATGAAGAAGAGCGGAGTGAAAAGACGAGAACATAGTCTAAGACTGGGCGAACCTCTTGACTACAGCGGCCATATACTTGCCTTGATGCTCTGCAAGTGCAAGCTCTGTTTCGCTAGGCTCTCTCGTGCCATCACCGGCAAAGACACCTGCGCCGTATGGAGAGCCCCCTCTGACGGAGTCCATCTTGAACATACCTGTTCCAAATGTGTATCCAATAGGAATAAACAGCATTCCGTGGTGTGCCAGCTGGGTGATTGCCGTCCAACTGCAACAAACCCCAGGATACATTAGCATTCTATTCCGTTCAAGCAACTATTTTTTAAGAAACTGCTTTCTGATTTCCAACATTAAGTGCCACTATCTGAATTGGTTGGAATCTATGCCAGATTTTGGTAATTGATTCAGTCCTCAGATGAGCTAAAATTATTCCACAATCGCTGGCGGAAATACTTTTGCATTAGTGTCCTTAGCAGAAACAGAAAAAATTTCACAAGTTTGTATTTTTTCCAGGTACAATCTTCTTTCCAAAGGAACCTAAAAATATCAACTGCGATGGAATTTTTCCTTCAGAATTAATGCACATTAACTTGAGCTTGAAGAAAACCATCATTTATAGCATGTAGCTCACAGGAACTTATTGTAGGAGCTGTTTTCCCTCTACTCTTATTTATCTCATGATGTGGAAAATGATAGACCAAAAGGCATTAAACGAGACCTCCTTTTAAGACAGGATCTCTCCCGTTGACTTGGAAAGTTAAAGTTATGTAGAACAATTCAACACTATGTTGAATCACAAGTATGAACATTGAGCTTAAAACATTTCCATTAGGTCAGATAGCACTGCAACTGTTTTTATGCATGAATTGTTAGGTTGTAGACTCCCTGTTTATTTCTTAATAGAATGATGCGCTCAAAATTCAAATAAAGCAACCCAATTCCAAAAAGCGTTGAACTTGTATCATGATTATCTATAATCTAATCAATGTCTTTAGTTCTGCGTCAATGATTTTCTTGTCTCTCTCTGAACAACAAAAGAGGTGAATTAAGTCTTAAAGATCCATCACAAGTTAGAAGATGTCTCAAGACTCAGAACACATCACAAAATCTTTACATCAGCTACAGTTTTTGAACTCATACTCTTAGAGGCTCTATCTTTATTAATTGGATCAATATTGTATTTTTCAGACATTGCTTTTTTGGTTAAAATAAGTTTTTTTTTTTTTTGGGTTTTGGGGGGGGGTGTTCTTTCACTGTGGTTAAAAACACAATCCAGTAGCTTAAAGTTTTTTAAGAATCATCAAACACGGGATGAAAATAATACAAACTTACACATATGAAAAACTTATATTAAACATGCTTCTCACGAAACTCATGCCTATGTTCGACATATATGAAATTCTCAGACATGACATTCCACTTCAAGTTATGGGTAAACTAGTTTCAAATTCTTTTGTGTCTCGAGTTCATACTTCTTAGCATTGATGATTTGATGTTCAAACTGGCAATCATGGTATTAGCGCTTCAACAGGTAACTAATTGAGAGCCAAGACATGAAAAATCCTGTGTCTTAGATGCAAAGCTTGCCAACGATTCGCAAATTAAAATTCCCCCCCCCCTCTCTCTCTCTTTGCGTGCGCGTGTCCTCTCGCTCGCTCTGTGCGTGCGTGCGTGCGTGTGTGTGGTGTTCGTATCATTGAGTTTTAACTTGAGTATTTATTATCTTTCAACTCACATGTGCTGATGCATTTTGTGCGTGCGTGCGTGTTCGTATCATTAAGTTTTAACTTGAGTATGTATTATCTTTCAGCTCACATATGCTGGTGCATTTTTTGCTGATGCATTACTGACGAGTGAATAGCTACTAGACAATCACCCTGTAAAAATTTCAAGTGCAAGAAAAGCAACACTTACGCAGTAGTTTCTTGACCGCCGCCTTGAGTGCCAGCGCTGACAAAGAACCCAGCGGGCTTCCCTGCAAGCTTTTGCTCCTTCCACAATTGCCCCGTCGAGTCGAAGAATGCCTTCATTTGCGCAGCCATGCACCCATATCTCGTCGGAAATCCGAACAAAATCCCATCGGCCGCAGCCAACTCAGCTGCCATTATTTCCGGTATTCTATCGTCCTTCGGCGGCGCTCTCATCTTCTCCAACACCTCATTCGGCAATGTCTCCGCCACCCTGTACAAAACCCCTTCTACCCCATCCACGCCATCCACACCCTTCTTCATCCTCCAAGCCAATCCCTCGACATGCCCATACATGGAATAGAACACTATGAAAATCTTCAATTTGGCGGCTGGCTGCGATACCGTGCCTTGAATTTGCATATCTGCAGGGTTATCAGCGTGGGCGTTCTCCTCAATAGCGATGAGCGCATTGCTAGATTCTCCGGCGGCGTCCCGCGCATTCTTCTTGCTGGGCACGCAGCCTCCTCCTTTGCCCATCACAAGCTAGAAATTGCTCAATGACGACTGCATATAATACTATGGAAAAGCCCTGCCGAATTCAGATTGGCAATTAGAGTTCGCTACAAATCAAAGTTGGTTAAATTGCAATTCAAGACTAATAATTAGTCATGAGCAGTATTTGACTATTTTCTGAATTCAAAAGTGTAACGTTGGTCGTACTTGACCTAACAAATGGAGTAGGGAGTGGGTGGTTTGAGTTTGTGGGCCTTCCAACCGGGACCGGATTTCAGAATGCCCACTTTTTGAGGAGATAGACGAATTCGAAGGAGTCTCACTCCCGGGGCCTGGTCATTCGGATAAAATGAATCTTAGGAACTCACGTGCGGACCCTACACGAACGACGATGCCAAACCTACACGACAATTAGTAGCATCTCCATGCCTAGTTTCCCTAATTGCAAGTTTGCAACTGTACGACATGGAGAAATGACATGCAGGGGAAAATTAGTATTACTGGTATTTGAGAGCGGCGCCTTCTAGATGCAAGTGACCCGATCAGTTTCCAACGCGTCGATTCAAGCGGACACGCCCCTGGTACCCCACAAACTACAAATCCATACTGTAATAGTAAAGTAATAACATCAACAACAATTATTCAATGCTTTTGGCCAAAATAATTAAAGAACTTTATCATTCAATGTTTGAAACCTCGAGAGGTACATTGTATCAGGAGATTCTTTTTTTTTTTTTAATCGTGCTCTGTTGTGTCGGTAAATTAGTGCTTCAATGCTTAATATCCAGTGGACAGATTGAACTGCATCAGTGACATTAATTAACTGTTCTGAGAAGAAAACTGATGTCAATCCTGAAAATAACAATGATAATAATATTATGATTATCATTTTGCGATGACAAATTTTAATAGACATTTCCGGGGAGAGCACGGTAACTCAGTCAGCTTCCTCTTTAAAATATTTATCACTAAAATAAACATAGCATTAGAGAAAGAAACTCTATCGAATTGTTTAAAGTCCATTTTTATCCCCATATGTTATACTCCCTCGTATCATTTTCACAAATCACTTCTACCGAACTCATTAAAAATAAGGTGAGTTGGTTAAAATAATCTTAAAAATAAATCACTTCTCAAATTTAGCCCTACTATTTATAAGAATGATTTGATATGTGAAAAGAATTTTTTAAAAATTAAAATATTACACTTCTTTTTTAGGAGAATATTTTTGAAATTGTACATAAAAATAAAAAAAATTAAAAGAAAATACTCCCTCCGTTAAAAAATATAAGACATTTTTTGAAGAGTTGAATGTTAAAAAATGCAAGATATTTCTAGTCTTTTAAGATGTAATCATTATATTTTTTTCTTCAAAAATGTTCTTATTGATAATAACTTGATAGTTATTATAGGGTGTTTAATAGGGGTAAATGTAAAAAAATAAGATTAGTTTGAAAGTAGGTAATTACTTTATTATGGGTAAAATTTGATTAAAAATATTTTATATTTTTGAATGTAGGAAGTAACTTATATAAAAGACCAAGAAACTCTCTAAAACCTAACTCATGAAAAGAATCAAAGGAAGTACACAACTACCATATTTGAGGAACTTGCGTATGGTATTTTACAAGTTTGCTTCCACTTGTTTTCTGGTCTTTGTTCTTACATGTTTTCTAGTCAATCCCCCGTTTTTTTTGTGGGGTAAAAAGTACTAGCCATCCCTTCTAATGAAGTTGGATGCAATCCGTGACATTTTCTTTCTTTCTTTTTTTTTTTCGGTAGAAAAGAAGGTTAAGCCTAGATTACATTAAACATAGACAAGGAATTAAATCACAAACATTCTTTAAACGCTAAAGCCCTATTTGGTAAGTATCCACTTTTACAATGCTTGGTAAAATAGATTGATTATTATTTAGGATTATTGAAACCCATAGAGGTAAGATTGGGTAAACCTATGAAAAGTTGGTATTGAAAATCTAATGTTGGGATTGAAACTTTTATTAAAATGCCCTTCCTTCTCAACAAACAGCCACAGTCAAAATAATGTCGCCTCTCTCACATGTCTCCGCTCATCTTCTCCTTCCTCTTCGATTTGACGCACGGTGGGTGGCCGCTCATCAAAAAATTTCTAGAGTATGAGAACATAACCTATGAACGCTCATATGTAATTGCTCATCCCTCTTCAATTTGACAACACACCTATGAATGCTTGACGGAAAGACAGTAGCGAGACAATGATGTGCAGAAAGAACAAAGGGGATAGGGGCATAGAGTGATGAGCATGGAGCAGCAAGCGCGAAGAAGAAAGACAATGATGTTCCCATTTAGCAACGACAAGTAAAAAGCGAGATTTTAGAAGCAAAAAGCACAAAGTGGATGAAGAAAAGGTTCGACAAGATGAGGTACAATTTGAGATGCATTATGAGATAAGGTTCAAAGCCTTCATCTTTGTCTTCAATCTTCATCTCTCCAACGCAGATCTGGAGAAGGAGAGGTTTTTATTTTTGCTCAGGAAGCTTGAAAATGGTCAAAGGCTTTTTTTTTTTTTTTACAAGGGTATCATATTTTGCAATTATAATTACATATATTAAATAAAAATTATTTAAGCACTCCCATGTCATACCAAACATGATGTTTAAAATTTATTTCCACTCTCATTATCACTCTCACTCCCATTCTCATTTCCATTCCCTTAAAATCTATCTTTTGTATCAAACAAGGTTTAAATCCCTCAATAATGGGGGAGTTGAATGAAAAAAAGGAGGAATGTGAAATTCCTTCTTTAATCTACAGCCATATTCTACTCCCTTAGAGCAAAATTAATCTTCACCATCCACTTATATTGGAGTGAGTTTTGAATTTTCAAGAAGACTAGGTTGCTGTTGTATAAGATATCATAATTTTCATTGAGTAAATCCACTAAGAGCAGACAGTCTGAGTCAATAATTACCTTCTTAAAGCCCATATTCCAAGCCAGGTGAAGATCTTATAAAATAGCCCATGCCTCTGCTTTGAAGTGGGTACACTTGCTAGAAAAGCCAACAATCCAAAATCCTTCACCATCTTAAAGAACACGCCATTGACAACTTTGTTCAAATTAAGACTGTAGTTGGTTTGAGGGAAGGGAGGGAAAGATTTTAATGTTATCTTATTTGATTTTGTTGGAAGGGAAGAGAGGGGAGTGATTTTTAATGATCTCTTATTTGGTTTAGGAGGAAAAAAAAGGTATTAATTAATTTATCATTATATCCTTATTTTTGAGTTTTATATTTTTTAGTTATTCCTTATGGAAATTAATTTTATACCCTAACTCAAATTGCAAAGTGTATATGATTTTACATATTAAAATTTTGTCAATAATCATGTCAAACCTACACAGTTTTTTTTATTAATTTATAACTGAATTATTTTATTTTTTAATTCTCAAATTAATTTTAATATTTTAATATTTCTTAAAATATAAGGGAAAAGTGGTTCATTCAAATATTCACGCATGTTGTAACATTCCAATTTAAATTTTAATAGTTAAATTAGGTTAATAAAAATTAATTAAAAAAATTATTAAATTATTATTATAATAAAAAAAAGGGGAAAAGGTATGTCAAAAAAAAAGAAGAAGAAGAAGAAGAAAACGAATTTGCTTTTGGCGCCACATGAATAGTAAATATAAAATAATAATAAAAAAAAGGGGAGAGAGAAGAAGAAATAATAAAAAAAATGTGTGGGATCCACTGAATTTTTATAAAAACTCACCTTCCTTCATTTCCACATTCATTCCTGCGCGCGAGCTGAGGCGGAGAGAATGCGAGTCACCGGTGTGAAATATCTAAATTTTTAAGGTAAGAGTTTTTAATAGGATATTTAGGGTGTGATTTTAAGCTTTTCAAGACTAAGTAAGTGTTCTAAAAATTTTTCTTAGTCATCCTTCTTATTTAGTTTCTGAGTTTGTAGTGGTAGAAAATTTAAGATCTGGAAGAGGGATGAATTTATGTTGAATAAATATGATTTTTGAGGTTGTCAATAGTATAATAAATGTTCTAGAGTATAAATTTATTGATGATCTTTGAATCTGTGGCTTATGGATCAAATTCTAAACTAGATCTGAAAATATATGTTGATTTATTGAGGTTTAGATGATTATTTGGGATGAGAAATGAATTATTATGGTTATAGGATTATGATTCTAAGCTAGAGACTCAATTTTTAATTTTTGGGTATTTTAGGTACGAATTTATAAAATAAAAAAAAATTTTGATAATAGAAATTAGTTTAAAATTTGATTTTTAGATTATTAATGTTTATTGATAATTAAAAGAGGAGTTAAAAATTTTACTTAATAGTATTAACTATAGATTTGTATTAAGATTGAGATTAGGAATTATGTTATATTTTTAATTCTATTATTAGAATTATTTTATTAGTTTCAAAAATTGAAACTAATATTTATAAATAATATGTTATTTGTAGATTGTATTACTGGTGAAGATTGTGGTGAGAGAGAAATTTTAAGGAATAATTTATTGAAAAAGCCACAAGGTAACCATGCTTTTAATTTATGATTAGTGTTACTTCATGTTAATTGGGTGATTATTAAGAAAATTATGAATTTTTTTTATTGTATATTGTGCAATATTATTATTATGAATTTGTTTGATTATTGTGGGAGGTGTTGGGAGACTTGCTATTGTTGTTGTATTTATGTGCCACGTGGTATGCCCCTATTGGAGCTCAATAGGTGGTTTGTAAGGGCTCGGGCTAATCTACCTTTGGTCGGGTAATTTAGTACCGAGTGAGGGCTACGGCTCGAGGTTAATGGAGGGATATAAGGATGGTTGTTTGTGTGTATTGTAATATTTCATATATTTGTTGGAATTATATTATTTTTAATTCTCACTTAGTAAGCACACAATTAACTGTTTGTATACACTATCATAAATTGGCTTTGGTTACTGGGACTTTTGAGTCTCATTATGTGGTTAACAATTTTCAGGAGAAGAGCCACGAGTGACACGTGGAGGAGTCCCAGAGACTTAGTGGTATAGATCCACTGTCTCTTTTGGGTATTTAATTTATGATTTATAATGTGTTATATTGCCAATATTAGGGCTTTTTGTTTATTGTTAATTATATAAATATATAAATGTAATCATGCCTTTCAAACTATTTCTATTTTTAGTACAATTTGGATGACTGTAATTTTAATATTTGGTTTACTTTGGATTGGTTAAAATGGCATGATTATAAGGCCAAATAACTGGTTTGTGTTGAAAATTTATTAAATTGCTTATTTTACTTGTTGGGAATATAAGGATGGACAAATGTGATTTAGTTTACTTGTTGGGAGTATAAGGATGGACAAATGTGATTTAGCCTAATGGCATGTGGGAGGTAAAAATTTATCTGAAATGTTAATTATAAAATATTTTATATTAAAATTATTGATATAAAAATGTGTTG